GGCATCAACAAGGAGCATAACATACTGAACTAGTTAGTGCTAGGAGTTCTCTCCTTTAGAGGGTATGTAGACAGTCTCAACCTGTGCCTGCTGCGGAACTGGGCACAAAAGGGACAATGTTTGTAACGTCCCACAAGCTTCCAGCGCGGGTGCTGGGACGGGTGGTCTGCACGAGCCCCAGGCTGTTTAGGAAGGCACCGGAGTCATCGGGCAAGGTGAGTTGGAAGGTTTTGTCTCCCTTGGTGACTGTGAGGGAGTGGGTCGGCCCCCATCTGTACCTGATGCCGGCTTCTTGGAGGGTCAGGGTCACCCGACGGACTGAGCGCCTCCAGTCCAGTGTAGCTTTGCATAGATCCTGAAGAACGGTGAGCTGCATCTCTTGATTGTGTCTTGAGTGCTTCTACAACCCCCATCTTGTCATGGAATGATTGGAATCGAATTAGAACATCGCAGGACGCTGCGGCTGGAGTCCTCGTGGATTTTGGGAGCCTGTGTGAGCCGTCATTTTTATCTTCATTCTCTTGTTTGTTCATAATCTGGGAAAGCTAAATAACCTTTCCTGCTATATGATGCCCTAACCGATATTCTCAATTTAGAAGGAACAAGTTCCAATTAAGGGAATACTCTTTCGATGCCAGCAGATGACACCACTGCTGTTAAAAGTGAAATCATTACTTGTACAATTTTTGAGTCCAGGTACTTAAAGGACCACTATAGGCACCCAGACCACTTCAGCTCAATGAAGTGGTCTGGGTGCCATGTCCCTCTAGTTTTAACCCTGCAGCTGAAAAAATAGTTTCAGTGAGGGTTAATCCAGCCTCTAGTGGCTGTCTCACTGACAGTCGCTAGAGGCACTTCCGCGATTCTCACTGTGAAAATCACAGCGAGAAGACGCTGGACGTCCATAGGAAAGCATGGAGTAATGCTTTCCTATGGGCGGTTTGAATACGCGCACGGCTCATGCCGTGCATGCGCATTCAGATCTGACGTCGGCAGAGGGAGGAGAGTTCCCCAGTGCCAAGGGAGGCCGGTGCTGAAGGGGTTTTAAGCGGAAGGGGGCCCCTGAGGGTAGGGGGGACCTAATGACCCTATAGTGCCAGGAAAACTAGTTTGTTTTCCTGGCACTATAGTGGTCCTTTAAATGACTTCCAGCAGTTTACTGGTGTGACTTTGTTTAAAACATCAACGGCAAACATATATTTCTTGAATGATTCCTCCTCTGAGTGACTTTGTCAGGGGCCAAATAATGATGGCTAGACGACTCGGTCAGAGCATGTCCAAAACATAAAGTCTTGTGAGGTGTTCTCGGTATGCAATGTTAGAACCTATAAAAAGTGATGCAAGGAAGGGCAACCAGGGTCATGGACACCCTAAGCGCACTGATGCACGCGGGGAGCAAAGGCTAGCTGAAAAACTCAATGGTGGCTGTGGTAGAATGGTGTCAAAAATCCACAGTGCATCGTCAAGTCTTTTGGATCTGCTGCTAATGTCATTGTGTCAGATACCAAATGACATGTTAAAACGTCTCGATGCATCAGAGCTGTTTTGGAAACACGAGGTGGACCTACATGATGGTTTTAATGTTGTGGCTGGTCCGTGTTTAAGAAGAGCTAAACTCTATTTCGCTAGTTCACGTCTACTGCAACGTTTTTAGAACCTACACTGAAATTGCTCATTGCAAGTTCATTTCTGTTACCACTCCATATGAACCCTCACTGCAAAATTGTCTTTGAAGTTACAGATCAAAGCTCCACAGTGTGATTTCTAGCTTTTCCAGGTGTTACATTTTTTTCCTCCCTTATTTTGAAAGTGTTCTTTTTCACTAGGTTGTTGGAAAAGGTTATTACTGCAAATTATGCCCCCTTTTTTAAATTGTATTTGTATTATATTGTGTTTCTGTGGGAGGAAAACATCGACGAGTGTTCTCAATTCATACAATACCACTTTTTGGGTGCAAACTAAGTTATATTTGAATTTTGCACACGATGGAGAATGCTGCAAACGTTTGTTTTTTCAAAACCTATAAAAAAATATTGTGTAGACAAAATGCTGCCAGATAATTTAGAACAAAATGCATACAAAGTTGTGTTGGTACTTGTAGCATTAAAGGGACACTCCAATGCCAGAAAAACAATCAGTTTTCCTGGCACTGCAGTTCCCCTCCCACCCCCCCATCCCAGGTTGCTGAAGGGGTTAAAACCCCTTCAGTGACTTGCCTGTATCCAGCGCCGATGTCCTTCTGCGCTGGTTCAGGGTCCGCCCACGCTTCTAACCTGCCATTGTCACCTGGCGGGGGAGACCTATTGTGCATGCGCGGCCGGCGGCGGGGGAGACCTAATGCACATGCGCGGCAATTTTTGTATATTGCCTGTATGTTGTTCACACACACAAACAAATTAAATGTGTTGGGCATGCATTGTTTTAGTAAGTTCACTTTTTGCACCTATTTTTAATTTTCTTTATTATATTTTCATAGCATGTTTTTATTAACCTTATTCATTTCGCAATCTTTCTCTTTTTGTTGAATTTTATTATTTCTTTAAAGAAAGCCTGAAGAGGTCCACAAAACTTGTAGAGACTGCTTCATTATTGCTTTCGCTTATTTTTATTTCTTGTTGTTCTTCTGTACTTCACAAATAAGGGTATTTCACCCTAAAGTTCACTGTTCAACAAAAAAAAAAAACCTCACGAAAATAAAAGTTAAAAAGGGCAAACAAAACTTGTAGAAATGATAGGTGACATTTTTGAGGGATGGTCACAAGAATTAAAAAATATTAAACCCTGAGCATGTAATTATTGCTGTTTTTTTATAATAATTATTGCTGTTTTTTTAACAGCCACTAGAGGGACTTTCAGGTTCTGTGACGACTTTTGTTTGCCTAAACGATGCTGGACGTCCTCACGCTATGCATGAGGACTTCCAGCATCGCCGGAATCCTCGTAGGAAAGCATTGAATAATGCTTTTCTATGGGGAGATCCTAATGCAAGCACGCCCATCGCCGTGCATGCGCATTAGGTCTCACCCGCCGGCAGATGTCGGTGGGGGATGAGCTGAGCCAGCACTATGGAATGCCTTTAATCACCTGTGGATTATGTTGGGACAAGAGTGCATGCTTAGAATGAAACCTGAACAAACAGAAATTGTTGGGGTTTTGTTGGTCTTTAGAATTTATACAATCACATTTATATACTATACTCTTTTGTTCTAATAATGGAAACCAGTCCATTATTTATAGAAACAAAATCAGTTTTTTTTGTTTGGGTTTTTATTTTTCTAATACGGGTAAAAATATTCTAGGGCATTTAAAAAAAATAAAAAAAAAATTTATTCCATACAGCAGGGGTTCCCAATGAATTTTTCCCTTTGACATAGTGCCTCAACATCGTGAAAACCCCATAACAAACAGATATACACACACACACACACACACACACACACACACACACACACACACACACACACACACACACACACACACACACACACACACACACACACACACAGTGACACACAGATACACACAACTTGACACAGTGTGTATCTGTGTGTGCGTGTATGTATCTATCTGTGTGTTAAGGTGTGTGTGTATCTGTGTTTGTTTGTGCCGATGTGTGTCAATGTTTGTATGTCTGTGTTTGTATGTGCCAGTGTGTATCTCTGTGTGTGTGTGTATCTAACACACAGATATACACACACAAACTCAGATACACAATGACACACACATCTCCACTCACAAATACACACACACACTCAAACAAACACACTGATACACACACTGACACACTCACGCGCATACTCTTTGACAGACGCGCATACTCTTTGACAGACGCGCATGTACAAACACAATTTAAAATATATATTTTTTTACATTTTTCTCCACCCAGTCCCCCCTACTTTTAGGAGTGCTGGCATGCAGTCCCTGAGGTCCAGTGGGGCTGCTGGGTGGCTGGCATGCAGTCCCTGGGGTACAGTGGGGCTGCTGGGCGGCTGCCGAGCAGTCCCTGTGGTCCAGTGGGGCTGTTGGGCGGCTGGCGTGCGGGCGGGGAGGGAGCAGTGTTCTCCCTCCTCAGCTCCCTCTCGCGCCTCATAGTGATGCCAGAGTCACGTCATATTCCGGCTACAGCATCACTGCTGTGTGCACGAGCAGGGAGATCACTGCTCCCTCGCTGCCCACGGCCATTTTAAAAAAAAATGTTTTTTTAAATTTAGGCGGAACCCCAATTAGTGTTATGTGGAACCCTGGGGTTCCACGGAACACCGGTTAGGAAATGCTGCCATAGAGCAGGGGTTCCCAAAAGGTAGATCCCCAGATGTTGTAGAAAAAAATCTCATGATACTTTGCACGCCTCTAGAATGCTTTTAGAATGACAAAGCTTCATAGAAGCTGTAGTTTTAAAACATCTAAGGATCTACCTTTTGGGCACCCCCTGCACTAGAGGAACCTGTAACTGACACTTGCACATGTCGCTATCTGACAGGCTTTCTTGCAGTACGCATTCATAGGGTTGCCATTTTGTTAATTAATGAACCCACTAGTCAGATGATACAGCTTTGAGTTTTCCCAGAAGCTTTCTTTATATTCGTGTGTGTCCACTTGTGTACCTGATTGAGTTACTTTTCTGACATTATTGCATCAGGCGGTGCTCGGTAGTAATTCCTGTAGAATTGTTTTATAATAAAACTCTTAGAGTTGTCCAGCCTTGCTTCCTCAGTTGTTATTGCATTATAACTCTCGCAATTTTCAGCCATTCTTTGCTTTGCCAATTGTTTGAAATTTCATGTTTATGTCAAATGACTTGGATTCACTTAATATAGAATACTTTTAATCTATACATAGTGCTAGCCATATTGATAGCACATGGTTAGATTGTAAGTGATCTTTTAAAAGGGACCCTAATGGCACCCAGAACACTTCATATCAATGTCCTGTCTCTAATCCTGCAATGGAAAGCATTGCTATTTTGTAGGAATGGCAATGTTTACATTGCAAGGTTATCATGCCTCTAGTGCAGGGATGTCCAAACTCCGGCCCTCCAGATGTTGCTGAACTACAACTCCCATGATTCTCTAGCTATGTATTCCATTAAAAAAATCATGGGTGTTGTAGTTCAGCAACATCTGGAGGGCCGGAGTTTGGACATCCCTGCTTTAGTGGCTGTCTTCCTGATGGACACTAGAGACGCTTCCACCCAAATAGCTGAGTTAAATTCTGCTATTAAATCAGATGATCTCATAGACCGGCTCATTCGCTCTAGCTTCCAATGTTTCCGTATAGGCCAACACTGGATTGGCTGAGATCATCTACACTGATGATCTCAGCCAAGGTGGAGCACAAATGTTGAGATGAGCTTAGAGAGGGCTGAAAGGTAAGTAATACTTTCTTTTCAAACCTTTGGGGTGGGGGGCTGTATAGGTGTCAGAAAACTATAGTGTTAGAAATACATGTTTGTATTCCTCACACTATAGTGTTCATTTAATTTTATTTTAAGTTCTGTGTTCTGCTACGCCAATGATATATAGCTAAAGAGTACAAATATCAAGTTTAAATATGGTTGGGCATGTTGCTGCCCTATTCTAGGTTATGAAGTGGCATTCCTTTTAAAGTGTATCTATTATGTAAAAAATGTTGGGTACTACAATTGTTATATAGGGGTAACTGTGTACTTCAGTGACTCATTTATTTCCTCATGTCAAGTAGAAGAAGCAATCTTTATATAAGTATATATTTTTCAACTACATCTTGGCTGGTGATTATATAGATGAAATGTATACCCATAGGTAAACTTGTTAACCACATTTTATAAAATTATGTATTCCCTTTAAAAAGATAGGAAGTATTACTGTCTGTTTTTTTTTGGGTGACATATCCGAGGGTGATAATGCTGTTTAAGACTTGTGCAAACTTTTTTTACTACTTCCAATTTGCTCAAATCAAGTTCCTAGGAATGAATACCCAAAAGTTGCATCCAGGATTTACCGGCGGAGTTTTACTGGTGGAGCAAGACTCCATGTGTAAATGCTAAATTGATTTGCACAGGTATGGATTAAAAGGAATTTAATTTGAATACACAAGTCTACTGTATATTTAAAAGGATTTATTTCCCTTTTTTATCTGGTCATAAACTTATTTATCAGTTGAAAAGTGCAGCTCCTCTTTTTTGGCACATCTGGCTTCCACTGTGTGATCTGCAAACGGCACAGGGGTTTTGAAACTTGCTCTTGGTTGTTAAAATACTTTGCCACCAAAGAAACTTTGTTCCTAGTTAGTGTGTAAACATTTCCTAATTTACATTCATAAAAACTTTGTTTTTATTTCATAAGATGCCTCTTCCACTGCTATCTGGGTCAGGGAAAAAGCTATCCTACCCCTCCTTTACATCAACAAGTGCAGATGGTGGTCTCTAGAGTCTAGACTGTGAAGAACTCGTTAGACCCCACTCTCCGTTCCACCTCCTGCCACCCATATTGTTATGCTAGAGTTTAATAAATACTTCTTTTGCACCAAGTGTCTTATAAAGTCCAAATGAGAGAAGCAGCTGCAATGGAGGAATTGGAATCATGCTCTGCGGCTGAGAAGTGACTTGGCATCGCCACTCTACTTATTATTCTTGGCGTTGTCAAACAAGTTTGGTTTGATAATTACATAGGAGAAAACTAACCGTGCCCAGCCACCCTCCCTTTAACCCTTGTAGGTGTAGATCCAGTTTCCACAGTATTTCTTGTTAATACCATCTGCTTCTCTTCCCATACCTGGCTGTCAGTTGTAGTCCAGAGAGCTGTGCTTCTCTACATTCCAACATCTCTGAAGGCAAACTAGGCCTGTCCCGGTAATGGCCTAAGCAAGGAGAGGATTTTTACATTTATTTTATAATACAGCATTTTAAGGAAATCATTTTTGTGATAGATGGAAAAGATGTATGGATTTAAATTTCAGGCCAAAGTAGACAAACTGAAAACACAGCTGACCTGGAGAATTTGTTCAATTTGACTATTTTGGCCCAAAATGTAAAAATCACTTTGAATACCCGAGTATGCGTACTTTAGAGAATAACCCCGAGAGCTGTTCACCAAACTTGGATTTGTGGACCGCTGATGAGGAAATTCCAAATTTTAGGCCACTATAGCAAAGTTCTAGCTAAACTAGATTTTTATTTTTTCCCCACCTTGTGAAGATCTACTTGGTATTTATACAAGGACCCACAAAGAGCCCTATGCACCACGTGAGGATAAAAAAAATTTGCATCCTCAGTTTTGCTTTAATGTGATTGTATGTAATATGTACCTTTGACAAACGCAATGAACAGATAAAAGTCCCGACAATCAATGCCGAGTAATTGAGACACAGGGAGAGCAGAAGAGCCCCCCTGTCCCTCTGCTCTCAACTCATAGCAACCGCAGCGCATTCGCTTTGGCTGCGATGGTATCTCCCTAGCTGGAGCTGCTAGCGCTTGCTAGGTGGTATGGGAATGCAGTGATGTGACATCACTCCATTCAGATGCCGGCATGCAAAGAAACCAACCTGTTGGCGTCTTGGAGAAGATTGGCTGTTGCGGACCAGAGGTGGGTGTTATAGGAGTGTAACATCCACCACTTTGAGACCGCAGAGGGCCTGGTAAGCAGTACATATTATCTTTAAAGGACACTAGAGCATTAAAACTACAAACCTCCTTCGCCACTGCCAGCCACTCCAACTCCCGCAACATCTAGCTCTCTAGCCGTTGGCTAATCCAATGCTCTTTTATGAGAAAATGGATGTTTGCGCATCAAATGCTCCTTTACGGACTCTGCATCAAAATGTTTCACATTAGAAAACAATTCAATGCTTTCCTAAGAGCTTCTGCATCATGCGACAGAGTTTAAACCCCCCACACCTCCCCCCCAAAAAACCTGCAACGTAGTTTAAAAAAAAATGACCACTGCACCCAGGCCACTTCATTTAGATGAGGTGGCCTTGGTGACTTTGTGGTCCTTCACGTTGCCCAGAGGAAAGTATTGGGATGTTAGAGCACATGCACAACAGAACTCTGTGCCAAGCCAATCAAATGCATTCATTTGAGCTATAACTGAGTCTTACTTGCTCACAGCTGCTGAAGTGTCTCCGTCGACTGTCAATCATCAACCGTTCCTGCTAAATGGCAATGTTTTCAGTTGCAGGTTTAGATGACCGGGACCACTTCATTGAGCTGATATTGTCTGGGTGCCTCTACAGTCTCTTTAAAGTGAATTTTGTGTCATTTGAGAATTTTGGTTAAGTGAGCCCCCCACCTAATACTGTGGGAATATGGCCCCTGTGAAAGCCTAGCTCCTATTTCTTTATGCAGGCTGTGCAGATCTAATATTTCCTGCTTTGGGCTTGGGATTGTTTTGTTTGGAGATCTATTACAGATGCACAGATTGCAAGCATGGCTCTGGGTTTCAGCTGACACAGGAGGCTAACATTGTATGTGTTCATTCTGTTCTCATTAGCCCTTTGTCAGAGGCTGCAAATGATTGTAATCCTTCCAGTAACACGCATACTGAACTGGCACTGACTGTGTTAAGGAACAGTGTAATAGTTGACCTGGTGTGGGCAACATGTAAACCCCTAGCTGTTTATAAACAACAAATCACACAATGCTTTGCCAGCTTGTTGTTCAGACTTTTGATGAGATCATTACTGAGAATGGGTGCAGACCTTCCGAACACCTTTCAAACCATAAAATCCAATAACTGGTGTCGCAACACCAAATGTCACAAAATATTTATTCCACCAGTTTTGTGACATTTGGTGTTGCAACATCATTTATTGGATTTTATTGTTGCTCCCTCTGCTATGGGAATTTATTTGTTTTTCTTATTATTATATATACCTTTTTTATTTGCTGCCTGTCCAAACAGCTTGTTTGTTATTCTATTTTTCGGCAGATAAGATTATCCATGATGCGTCCATAGCTGGCCTTCTGGAGCTTAAGAGTTAGACAGGGGCCATGAAACCATGAATTTTCTTGGTTCTTTTTCTCAATCTGTGTTCTTCTCTGTTTTGCTGTCTGGATCCAGTGGTTGCTGCCACAGAGAGATCCTAACAAATAAATATAAATTGTAAACATGTTCTGAAATACTGTACAGTCGGTGGATGAGATAAACTGGTTGTGACAGTGTTTGACATGGAACAAGGAACAAGAAGTCATATGGGCCGATCATGTGATTACATTGAAAGTAAAGTCAGTGCATTTAAAACCTTCTGCAAACATTGCTATCGCAGGAACTAGTGAGACAAGCATTCTTGCTTGGAAAGTTATATATAAACTTCAAGATCTCTTGGGTAACTCACACTAAGATTTTTGGCAAAAGCGACTAGTGCGTTTCAAACCTTTCCTTCTTGTACATCAATTGATGTACAAGAAGGAAAAAGCCTCACGGCTGCTCTAGTTGAAGACTGTACAGATGGCTCTTACAGCAAAGTTCTTTTACAAAATCAAAAATGACAAACCTTAAAATTCAGATTTTATAGAATTCTCTAAAATTATAAATACGCAAGAATATATAAATTTCTGCATATGTTTTAATTTTCATTGAAATTATCCAGAGTTTTAGCATTAATGTACTTCACTGTACAAAGATACTGAGTGGATTAAGAAATCCATTTCTTTGTCACGTGACTGGCCATCTGGGAACACAAAGGAAACTTGTATGTTCCGTTCTGGTTATAAATGTAGTCTTGTTATATGATGACACGAAACTGCCATGCCCATATTCACAGATTTTTTTTTCGTAATAGTGGATTTGATTGTGAGCTCATACGAGATACATTTTCTGCATTAGTTTTATGGTCATGTCTGCTTTTAAATATCATTTTTGTATCTTCTTTTCCTATAATCACATCTAAGATTTTATATTCCCATAGGAAAGAAATGGAAGTGACTTTTTTTTTTTTTTAAATAATAATTGATTATGAATAACTATCATTATATTGGAAGCTTAGAGCAGTGGTAACATCACTGCCTGAGAGTAAACAGTTAAAGAATGTTCATGGCGCATGTCCTAACATACACTTTGCCTGTGCATTCCTTGGATGTTTCTCTGTTTCTTACTTGACAGAACACAGTTCACTTTAATTAGCATAAAGCCAACAGAATGTCTGGAGGAAGAGCAGCAAGGGGTTTTACCAATTCATCGCTATATGGTTTGCACAAAATTCCTTGGATGAAGAAAAAAAGAATCTCATACCTTTTTTTTAAACTAGTGGTGGAATTTCAACTATCTCTCTTCAGTCAGATGTCCACACCCTCATTGTTACAGAAATGGAAGGGTAACCCTTAGCACACCACATTATAATGATTATTATATATGAATAATTCTAATTATGGGAATAATTATAATTAAGTATATCCACTAGTTGTTTATTCATGAAATAGGGAGTTGTGCCATTTTTTTTAAAATGTCATTTTATTTTTTTCTTTATTTGTAAATGTACGCGAAAGCAGTATACATGCATTCACCATGTCCGTACAACTTGTAAAGATCATATAATAACAGTATATGGCAACACCTTACAAATCGATCTATAAGCAGTTTTAACCTCACTTTAAAGGACCACTATAGGCACCCAGACCACTTCAGCTTAATGAAGTGGTCTGGGTGCCAGGTCCAGCTAGGGTTAACCCTTTTTTAAAAAATTTTTTATAAACATAGCCGTTTCAGAGAAACTGCTGTTTATAAATGGGTTAATCCAGCCTCCAGTGGCTGTCTCTTGACAGCCGCTATAGGCGCTTGTGTGCTTCTCACTGTGAAAATCACAGTGAGAAGACGCCAGCGTCCATAGGAAAGCATTGTGAATGCTTTCCTATGGACTGGCTGAATGCGCGCGCGGCTCTTGCCGCGCATGCACATTCAGCCGAAGAGGAGGCGAGCTCCCCGCCCGGCGCTGGAGAAAGAGGTAAGTTTAACCCCTTCCTCTCCCCGGAGCCCGACGGGAGGGAGTCCCTGAGGGTGGGGTCACCCTCAGGGCACTATAGTGCCAGGAAAACGAGTGTGTTTTCCTGGCACTATAGTGATCCTTTAAATTTCCTTGTTCAAATGTGCTTTTTTTTTTTTTTTTTCTTCTACAATTCTATAGGCATTTGTCACACTCGGTTCATGCTGTCTAGCTAGGGGAGGTCATATTTCCATAGACCTATTTATGTAGGGGAACTGGGAAAGAATATACCAGATTTGGCCGGTAAGTAACCCAACGGGTGTAACTGTGCACAGTAAGGAGAAGATGCTGTCAAACTATGTACACCAGTTCACTGCTGCCCATGTACAGTTTAAATGGACACTCCAGTCACCATATCCACTTCATCTAAATCAAGTTATGGTACCAGGTGCCCTGGATGCACTTTTACCTTAGAAGGTTAAACTGGTCTGAAATCGTACCTCTAACACCGATCTGCAGGTCCCCATGGCGGCATCCTGTTTCTGAATCTTCGTTTCAGAAAGCGCGGAGTGCAGCTGGTCAGGGGCGCCACTGATTGGCTTAGCGTGGTTTGTCATTAGCCAACCTGGAACAAGAAATATGGGCTGCCTTATGTAAATTCTTTGCATATTTCTATGCGCTCAGAATGTCATTCATTGGCATTGAATTCCTGATGGGATCGGCATTTGGTTTCTACTGCTCTGCTGAAACTTAATTTTATAACAGCCAGGGAGATAGGAGATACTTTGCCAAATGATCTGCCCCATTACCAAGGAACAGCGCAAGTGTACTTCTAGCGTAAAACCACCAGTAATCCTTTAAAGTTAAGTGAGCCTCACAGTATTATTTGCTAAAGTGAGAATTCAAATTGAAAGGTCTCGGCGAAGAGGTTTGGATGCAGTGGTCCTGTCCTTTTTACTATGCATGGTCCTAGTACCTTCTGCACAGCCTAAACACATCTAATGATGCACTTGGCACTGTACTTCCTGGGAACAGTTCCATGGTGTGACGAGACCAATCTCACCACTGTGCATTGGAGGAGCCTGGTTGCCTGCCTGCTGCCTTTTGACTATGGACCGGCATTTAAATACTTTATTTTCCTATGCAGAAAGGTCTATTCATGTATTTCTGCCCTGGCGTTCGGTAGATTCTCTGATTTACTGAATTAACTCATTTAACCCAGATAGCTATGCCATAGAGCCTATTCGTGTAATAAAATACTTTGGCTCCATGCCAGTTGAACTGTATGTGTGTTGTCTGAGCTCCATTCAGTAATAATGTGCGCTCAGACCTAAGCTATCTGGGGGTATGTTGCATGTCTGTATTTTATGTAATACATGTAACCTTGTGTATTTTATCGTATTTTATTTTACAGTTTTTTTTTACTGCCATCTGCTTAATGGAGTTTTGCCTCTGTCCTTGGAGATAATTGGATTACTTCCCACTTATCTCCAGGATAGAGAGGAGGGATTGTGATGTCATTGTGGGAGTTTTTATCTGTTGTATGTTTTGATTGGGTGTTCCACAAAACCATGTGGGTGGGACTTTGTCTGTAAAATGTGTATATAAGGCCAATAAGGACACAGCTCAGTCTGTTCACTGCTTGACCCTCAACACAGAGCTTTGTCTCGTTCTTGGGGGGGATTTACTGAATGCTTTTATAGACTAATTTCCAGGAGTGTAAGCTGCTTGGGTGCTTTTCCTGTTCAGTTGCTAGCAGCTATTTGTGAAGTTCCAGTTCGGAAGTTTGGAGTGCTGCTTTGTATTCTGTTCGGGAGTTTAGGGTTCTGCAGTAGCTGTGCCTGTGTCTCTGGAATGGAAGATCTACTAAACGGCGGTTTATCCCCTTTTATGCCTGGGGGTGCCGTTACATATGGGGTCTCCAGATGTTGGACTCCAGGGTAATGAAGTGAAGACAGAACACCAAAACACCCCTGAAACCTGGTTTGTTAAGGGCCTAATAGTAAAAAAGCTGCATGTACCGAGTTCAGGCACCATGATCACTTCAGATCACTGAAGTGGTCATGGCACTTGGATTAACCCTTTAAGGAAATGCCGTGGCATATGAGTCAATTTGGTGTTGTATTGTTTTGACAACCCTTTTTATCAACTTGACAGTAGATAATATGACAAGGTTCAACTCTAAGCATTATGCACTTCATTTGCATGTCCATACCCAGAATGCCTAGTGGCATTAACAATACTGTGCCAGTCTGTGAAAAAATAACTCTTCTTAGAAATGTGGCTTCTGATAAATAGGCTCTAATGTTTGTGTATATAGAAACACCTTAGTATGTGTGAAACAGAGGAGGAGCGACTTAAAGTGTGATTATAATTTATGGTGGAATATTCTTGGTCTATGTTAAATGCAAAAACAAATCTGATATCACTTCCTCACTGCTCGCTGTAACCTATCAAGAGGTAGGCATTCCAGCATCTATATGGCCAGGGTTCATTTAAACATTAAGGTCTCATCTCAGATGTCAGTCTTGGCTCGCTGCAGATCCATAAGGTTTTTACATTGTTTCATAGCCGTTAACTTTGTCCAGCAATACAGTGCTAAGATATTTATATTATAAGAGGGGGAGGGGAGTGGGTGGTACTTCCCAGGAAGTACATTGGGAACTGTGGGAATATCAAGTTTCAAGGTAAAATACAAGAAATGGAGAAGTTTTTTCCAGCTCCTCTATTTTGCCCTAAATTCCAATGTCCGATCTTGTCGATTCCTAGTTTAGTAAATAAACCTTTATGATAATATCTTGAGGTAATAAATTCATTTACACTCTTCAGACCTGTAATACAACCATAATAAATAGGCATGAGCGGTATAATCGCTGCTTCTGGATGTAAGGCAGC